TATTTATAAATATATTAATATATGTGTATACAATGTATTATAAGATAATAATATGATGACATGACATGCGAACGCCCCTGTTTTCTTCCCTAGGAGCTTCGTCCTATCACAGAGGCAAATGTTTCCGGTTTAAGCTCTCTCCCACACAAATAATCCATTTTGCCTACAAAACTCAATTCCGTGGAGACCCCAGTTTCTTTTTTTGTTTGTTGTCGTACGTGTGTGCGTTCTCCCAACGTATTAATTAACATTTTTGTATCAACGATAATCAATAACCAGACTTGAGATTCCTTCTTTAAAGCCATGAGGCAGTTGTTTTATGTTTGCTCCAATTCTTGCAAACAATCAAATATTCCACGTTGATAAAAGCTGCTGGGGTTTATCTGACACTACATCACATAAATATAATTTTGATAACTAGATTTTGATTTTCTTTTCAAATGCTTAGTGGCGCAAGGCATAATGTCCTGAATATGATATAAGTTATATTAATTCGTAATCAAAGCATTGGGGGTATACATGATGAAAGCTGCATAAAAACGTCAAGCTGTGTAAGATTACAGTGACAAGTTCTCTAGTGTAATGTTCACACGTTTTTCAAATTGTACATTGTAAGGTCGACAGGTTATGAAGGGGTATTATGTAACCTTAATAAGAAATAACAACATAGTTTTATTCTAAAGTTGAAATGCTGTGCAGTGTGACGTTGACAAGAAATAGGTAGCATAGTTTATAGTTGACAAGCTGTACCGGGAAAAAGTTGACAAGTTGACAACCTAGTTTAAGATTGACAACTAGTATTATTGCGATGTTAAGCGCTATACAGTGCAAATCTAACGCTGACAAGCTATAACATAGAACAAATTATGCCACGTCACGTTGACACGCTACGTAGTGTGACATTGACAAGTTATACAGTTCAACTATACAGTATAATGCTGACAAGCTATACAGTATAAAGGTGACGAGTTTTACATTTTAATTAACTATGAAGTATAACGATGACGAGCTATACAGTTGAATTAACTATACAGTATATCGCTGACATGCCGACAGGCTGTTCTCCGTTAACACCTAAAGAATAAGGGAGCTTAGATTTTCCGAGCTTGCAGTATAGTC